CTGATAGACAGAGAGCCTGAAGAACTATGGACAGAGGTTTGTGACATTGTACAGGAGACAGGGATTAAGACCATCCCTGTGGAAAAGAAATGTAAAAAAGCAAAATGGCTGTCTGAGGAGGCCTTACAAATAGCTGTGAAAGAAAAGAAGTGAAAAGAAAAGGAGAAAATGAAAGATATTCCTATCTGAATGCAGAGTTCCAAAGAATAGCAAGGAGAGATAAGAAAGCCTTCCTCAGTGATCAGTGCAAAGAAATAGAGGAAAACAACAGAATGGGAAAGACTAGAGATCTCTTCAAGAAAATAAGAGATACCAAGGGGACATTTCATGCAAAGATGGGCTCGATAAAGGACAGAAATGGTATGGACCTAGCAGAAGCAGAAAATATTAAGAAGAGGTGGCAAGAATACACAGAAGAACTGTATAGAAAATATCTTCATGACTCAGATAATCATGATGGTGTGATCACTCACCTACAGCCAGACATCCTGGAATGTGAAGTCAAGTGGGCCTTAGAAAGCATCACTATGAACAAAGCTAGTGGAGGTGATGGAATTCCAGTTAAGCTATTTCAAATCCTGAAAGATGATGCTGTGAAAGTGTTGCACTCAATATGCCAGCAAATTTGGAAAATTCAGCAGTGGCCCCAGGACTGGAAAAAGGTCAGTTTTCATTCCAATCCCAAAGAAAGGCAATGCCGAAGAATGCTCAAACTACCACACAGTTGCATTCATCTCACACGCTAGTAAAGTAGTGCTCAAAATTCTCCAAGCCAGGCTTCGGCAATATGTGAACCATGAACTTCCAAATGTTCAAGCTGGTTTTAGAAAAGGCAGAGAAACCAGAGATCAAATTGCCAACATCTGCTGGATCATCGAAAAAGCAAGAGGTTCCAGAAAAACATCTATTTCTGCTTTATTGACTATATCAAAGCCTTTGACTGTGTGGATCACAATAAACTGTGGAAAATTCTGAAAGAGATGGGAATAGCAGACCATCTGACCTGACTCTTGAGAAACCTGTATGCAGGTCAAGAAGCAACAGTTAGAACTGGACATGGAACAACAGACTGGTTCCAAATAGGAAAAGGAGTACGTCAAGGCTGTATATTGTCACCCTGCTTATTTAACTTATATGCAGAATACATCATGAGAAATGCTGGGCTGGAAGAAGCACAAGCTGGAATCAAGATTGCCGGGAGAAATATCTATAACCTCAGATATGCAGATGATACCACCCTTATGGCAGAAAGTGAAGAAGAACTAAAAAGCCTCTTGATGAAAGTGAAGGAGTAGAGTGAAAAAGTTGGCTTAAAGCTCAACATTCAGAAAACTAAGATCATGGTATCTGTTTCCATCACTTCAAGGGAAATAGATGGGGAAACAGTGTCAGAATTTACTTTTTTGGGGCTCCAAAATCACTGCAGATGGTGACTGCAGCCATGAAATTAAAAGACACTTACTCCTTGGAAGGAAAGTTATGACCAACCTAGATAGCATATTAAAAAGCAGAGACATTACTTTGCCAACAAAGGTCTGTCTAGTCAAGGCTATATGGTTTTTCCAGTGGTCATGTATGGATGTGAGAGTTGGACTGTGAAGAAAGCTGAGCACTGAAGAATTGATGTTTTTGAACTGTGGTGTTGGAGAAGACTCTTGAGAGTCCCTTGGACTGCAAGAAGATCCAACCAGTCCATCCTGAAAGAGATCAGTCCTGGATGTTCATTGGAGGGACTGATATTGAAGCTGAAACTCCAATACTTTGGTCACCTCATGCGAAGAGTTGACTTATTGGAAAAGACCCTGATGCTGGGAGGGATTGGGGGCAGGAGGAGAAGGGAACGACAGAGGATGAGATGGCTGGATGGCATCACCGACTCGATGGACATGAGTTTGAGTAAACTCCGGGAGTTGGTGATGGACAGCGAGGCCTGGCGTGCCTCCTTCTTTGCGACTCTTTGCGACCCCTTCACAGGGTCACAAAGAGTCGGACATGACTGAGTGACTGAACTGAGCTGATGTCATCCAAAGAAGGGATATTTTTAAACCTTAAGAAATTTAAAAAAAAAATGTGTTCTCAAAACATAGGACAAATAAAAGGGGCAGTGCTTTATAAAAAAGTTGAATAATAAAATCCATTGTGCTCATTTCTTTTACATTCCTTGGTATGTGCTCAGTACCCCTGAAGCCCTGGCATGACTCATGGCCCCTTCTTGGGGAGGATGAAGAAGACTCAAGGATCACGTAGAAGGGCTGGATTTAAGCCTCTTCAAGCTCATTTGCTCAAGGGGATGGATGCATGGTTGGGAGATGGGCTGTAACACATGAGACTGTGTCTCTGTACTTGTTGCTCAGAAGTGTTCTGGTTTGTGTGCCAAATGGTGTGGTCACCTTGACTGTTGCCTCCTGTGTAGGAGGAGTACCTGGCATGGGAGAATCTTTTCGGTGAGTCCATGTGACACTGTTTATAAAGGGCCATCCTAGGATTTGGCAAGAAGAGAGTTCTTGATAAATGGCAGTCATTTTTATCCAGGCCATCAGAAAAATCACTGGCTTCCCAGTTTTCAGATTGTGGATCGAATCCTTGTTTATTAGGGCTTTGACCTTCGGTAAGTTACTTAAATCCTCTGAGCCTGTTTCTTTTCTGGAGCGTCAATGAAACCTTTGTGTGGAAGATTGTGTGGAAGCAGAAATTAAATATAACAGTATTTCATAGTAAGTGTAAAGTATCTCATTTGGTGCCAGGCACAGAGTAGGTGCTCAAAACATATCCATCTTATGGTCTTTCCGTCCTTCCTTCCTTCTTCCATCTTTCTTACTCCCTGCTCTCCTGCTTTTCTGCCTTCTGTAGATGGAGGGCATATCTATCCTCTGGAAGCCAATCCCTTAGGTTCCTTCCTAGGCCCAGTGGGGGCAACCTTCTAGAACCTTCTAGATTGGCAAGGAGAGATTCATCCTTGTCAAAGTGTCTAGCTTTACTGTGGAGAAAGTCTTGTCTGAGTACTCTGTTAGTCCATTTGGGCTGCTGTAACAAAAGCACCACAGGTTGGGTAGCTAATAAATAAATAACAAGCTATTTCTTACAGTCTGGAGGCTGGGAAGTTCAAGATCATTGTGCTTGTATATTCGGTTTGATGACTGTTGAGGGCTCATTTCATATTTCAAGTATGGTGCCTTCTCTCAATGTCCTCAAAGGTGGAAGAGACAAGGGATCTCCCTGGAGCCTCTTTTATAAAAGGACTAATGCCATTCATGAGGGCTCCACCCTTATGACCTAAGTACCTCCTAATGTTGTTCAGTTGCTCAGTCATGCCCGACTCTTTCCAACCCCATGGACTTCAGCATGCCAGAATCCCCTGTCCTTCACCATCTCCCAGCCTTTGCTCAGATGCATGTCCATTGAGTCAGTGATGTCATCCAACCATCTCATCCTCTGCTACCTCCTTCTCCTCCTGCCCTCAATCTTTCCCAGCATCAGGGTCTTCTCCAATGAGTCACCTTTTCGTAGCAAATGGCCAAAATGTTGGAGCTTCAGTATCAGTCCTTCCAATGAATATTTAGGGTTGATTTCCTTTTGGATTGACTGGTTTGATCTCCTTGCTGTCCAAGGGACTCCCAAGAGTTTTCTCCTAATGGCTTATCTCAGCATATGAGTTTGGTGAGGAGACACAAGCATTCAGTCCATAGCAAGTACGTTCTGCACTAACACTATGGATGTCCCTGCTAAGAAGTTAAGTGAAAAGATGGAGAAAATGAGGGATGGCTACCCTGACAGAGAAAGCACAAACTTCTTCTGTTCTTGGGGGGCTTGCAGCTTCTCTGGGTCCAAACACCAGCTAATGCTTGAAACAGTCCAAGAACAGTTTCAACTGGAGTTCTCAAAGAGGATAAATGCTCTCTTCATCCCTAATTTTATCCCTCATATTCTATGGGCTTCTAAATACCATTATTCAGTTTGGTACCCAATTGAGGACAAGATCATTCGTTCTTGGAGCATAAGTTGAGGAGTCTCTTAGGGTTCTCAGCTACTTTAGGCTACTCTTTGGACCTCTGTAAATGTCTTTTGGTTGGTTCATGAAGAGGCTGCCCCTAAATTCATGGCTTGAGAAGGGATGTTGAGTTAGGCATTGGTTGAAGTCAGAGAAAGATTTCTGCAGGAGAGACACTTTTGAGCTGGTGTTTGAAGGGAAGGCAGATTGGGGTCCATGGGGGAGGGTGGGAATAGAACTATGCTGGAATCCCCCTACATCTACCTCACCCTCCCTGGCCAGCTCTGGCATTCCCCCTGGTACCCAGGAAACACTCCACAAACACTACTTGAACAGAAGTCATCCTATGAGGCCAAGTTCAGTGTCTGCTTCTTCTGAATCCTCCTGAATCACCCAGACAGAACAAGTCACCCCTCCCTTTGGGTTCCTGGAATCCAGAATCCATGCATATTGCAGCACAATTATACTGTAATTTTCCTCGAGGGCAGAGGCTACGTCCTTGCACCTCTGGCCCCAGCTCCTGATATTTGCTGGGTGACTGAGAACCACGGGTCAGCCTGTCCTGCACTGGGAATGGTCAGTGGGGTCTTGAGGAAATAGGGGTTAACTGAATACTGGGGACCACTGAATATCAGGCTCCAGGGCTACGTTCTGTTTTGCAGTAATGCCGTTCCACATTTCCCAGAGATTGTTCTCGTAATACACAGGCAGCATGCCCAAGCCAGGCTCTGACTAGTTTCTAAAACAAGTTAAATCTTTCCTTTTGGGACAATTCCATCAGCAGGGCCGATGAGCATGCTCCTTTGGCAACCGTGGCTTTCTCAGTCTTGATTGTTGGGTCACTTCCCACTGATTTCCTCACGGCCCCTTGCAGCAGCCCTGTTATCCTTGGCTGGGCTTCTGGCTGGTGAGGAGATGAGCTAGGTCTTCCCAGATCTTGGTGTGAAAGAGAGCTCCTCCACACCCCCACCCACAGCCGCCTGTGCATGGCTGTGATGGAAACTGGCTCCTCATGCAACAGATCTCAGTGGAGATTGGAAAGTGCTTGTCGGAGGATGGAGTTGTGTCATTGTTGGTAAGTGGATGTAAGCCAGGCTGCAAATGAGACTACAGTCTTCCCAGGGCCCTTGCTTTCCACCCTGATAGAAGGACAAGGCCAGCTTCAGAGAGCCTGGGCTTTATATGCCTGGGCTCGACTGAGTTTCATCAGATGAGGGTCATGGAGGTATACCCTAGGATGGCCAGATGATGGAGGGTGGAAGTCTCTGTGGGGAAATCACAGTTCTAGGCAGTCCCTATCTGCAGGATGGTGCATTTTAACCCTTCAAGTCCTTACCAAAATGCCTGGGGCAGGAGCATGATTTCTGACACATACATTTGTAAATTAGCCTAAACCTGAGTCATCTCAGCCATCTCCACCCTGCACATGATTTTTGGGGAGCCTGAGATCTGAATCTCAGGAGTCCTTTCTGCTGAATTTCGTTGACTTGGGGATGCACAAAGGGTCTCCCTATGATAAATATGTCTGAAAGGGAGTACACAGATGATTTAAATTTCTCACTGAAAATGTAAGCACAAATTTAGTTGAGCAGCAGAATAGAGGGACGTAGCAAGAGCACTGGATCAGGGGTCAGTTTGCCCCAGTTTTGTTCACTTGGGCTAATTGTGTATTTTTTTTTTCTAAAATTCATTTCATGTGATTAATAGAGTATTTAAATGTGTCATGAATTATTGTTTGTGCTTTACAAATATTAACTCACTTAATCTTTTTAAAAATTTTATTTTTAATAGGAAGATAATAGCTTTACTCATTTAATCCTTGTAATAATCCATGATGTAGGTATAATTATTAAACTCATTTTATAGATGAGACAAGTGAAGAACAGAAATGCTAAGTAACTTGCCCAAGGTCACACAGCTAGCAAGCAATGGAGGAAGTCTGAGCTCTCCTCAGAAGCCTCATCTGGAATGTGGGAATGAAGCCTGTTGCCCTTCCCGTCTCAGCATTTATTTCCTTTGTGCTTTCACAGAGCTTCACTTGTACCCCTGTGATTATTGGCATGAAATCTCCTTAAAATATAAGGCGGATGGGGGCTTGACTCTGCACTTGGCTCACTGATCACTGGTACAAATGAGGAGGAGTCCCTGATGTGCTTAGGCACTCCGTGTGTTAGTTGCTCAGGTGTGTCTGGCTCTTTTCAACCCCATGGACTGTAGCCGGCCAAGCTCCTCTGGCCATGGGATTCTCCAGGCAAGAATACTGGAGTGGGTTGCCATTTCCTCCTCCAGAGGATCTTCCCCACGCAGGAATCAAACCCTAGGCTCCTGCATTGCCGGCAGATTCTTCACTCTCTGGGCCACCAGGGAGGCATGCAGTAGATTTTGATAAGTGAACGAATTAACCTCATCACTCTGCTGTGATGAGAGGGATTCGGCTCTTCCCCAAGCATGGTTTTAAGAAGGGTGGACTGTGTCTTATTTATCTGTGGGTCTCTAGACCCCAGCCTATTCTTGGCACAGGCAGATGCTCACACAGAATAAATGAAGCCACATCACTGCCCTTTGCCTTAGGTTGGAAGTCACCCATTAGTCATGAAGGAATGAGCTCACTTAAATGCCATAAGCCAATGAACATTGACACCTGTGAGGTATGGAGTAATCTGTGGTGAAAAAAAGATAAGGCGGAGGAAATGGGGTTCTTTCAATTGCTGTATAATAAATCAATCCAAAGTATAGAGGCTCAAAACAACAGTGATTTATTATTTCTCCTGATAGTTGGGCAGTTTTTTTTTTTTTCTCTAAGTGGTGTAGCCAAGGTAGGTTAGTCAAGTAACTCCACCCAGCTGAGGGTTTGCCCTGGGCTGGAACATCCAAGGTGGCCTCTCATCCTCTGGTTTTCTCTCCTCTATGTGGTTTCTCATCATTCATGGTCTAGCTTGAACTTCTCTGCAGCCTAGCAGCTGACTTCTAAGAAGTGGGAGATGCAGCTCTCCAAACTCTGATGACTAGGCTCAGAAGTCCCAGGATGTCTTCTCTACCACATTTGGTTGAGCAAAGTAAATCACAATATCAGACCAGATTCAAGGGGAAGAAAAGAGCCTCCACCTCTTGTTATGTGTACAGACAAGGGAAAAACTACTGCTGGTCATACCAGAGACCACGCCACAGGGCTGGACCAGGAGTGGTGACAGGAACTCTGAATTACCCTCAAGCAAATGAGCAGCTGCTCAAGGGTAGAGTGTGATTTGCCTGCCTGAAAAGGTGATATTCCGGGATGTTCAAACTTCCCACCCTGTTCTAGGAGGTCTGAGCTGACCAGGCTCTTGAAAAATAGCAAAGTTTTTCTTCTTCTTTTCTGGGAGGCAAGTGACATGTGCATTGCATACCACAAGTCGGTGGCAGGATGCGGGCTGCTATTGCCAAGCAGTTCAGAGGGTGTCATTGGGTTCAAGTGTTGATTTTGCCACCAAGATTACTGGACAAGTCATATAATCTTGATGGACCTCTATCTCCTTATTTATTTGATATGAGTAATAATGCCTTCTTTATAGGGCTGAGTGGATAATGGTGAAGAGTATGAGTTCTGGAGCCAGACTTGTGAGTTCAAAAACCTTTTCCTCCATTTACCACCCATACTGTTGTTTGTCAGTAAGTTGTGTCCGACTCTTTTATGACCCCATGGACTGTAGCCCACCAGGCTCTTCCGTCCATTGGATTTTCCAGGCAAGAATACTGGAGTGGGTTGCCATTTCCTTCTCCAGGGAATCTTCCCACCTCAGGGAGCAAACCCATGTCTCCTGAATTGTCAGACAGATTCTCCACCCCTGAGCCACCAGGGAAGCCCACCACCCATATTACCTTGGGGTAAACACTTACTTTCTCTATGTCTCGGCTTTCTCTTCTCTAAAGTGGGGATAATAATAATACTTGTTGTATAGAGTTGTAAGGATCCAGTGAGTTTAACCAAATGGAAGCATCTAGAACAATGCCTGGTCCATGCTTCACAATCAGTGGATACTCTCTATAATTATTAGAAATGTTTCTAGGAAAATTAAAAGGAGATGATGCTTGCAGAAGCCTAGTGTATGCATTGACCATAGTAGGTCTAGCTATTAATGGTGGGAAAATGAGCTCCTTTGTCCATTTCCTTTCTTACCACCCTCATGCTCAGGTAACTGGAGCAAGTAATCCCAATCTCTCTCTTTGATCATGCTTCTGTAAGCGACAAGCGTCTTGTCTCATTTGTTAGTTTGCTATTCATTGTACTGCTGTTTTTGCAGGCAGAGAGATTGGGCCTTTCAAACAGAAATAGGCTTTACCTCCTCCCCTCCCTGCATGTGCTGACTTTCTGCTTCCCCATAAGAAGTCCACTCCAGAGGAGTCCTCCCACTGGAGGAGATGTACCCCTCTCTTGCTCTCTGTCCCAGCCTCACCTCTGACTGGGAGGATAGGTTCCAGTGACACCTGGGATTCAGTCTCTGTTTTGAGCATTACAGGTTTGTCATTATGATGATATCTCAGTGTTCCCACCTGTACAATGGGAAGGTGTTCCCTGCAGTGCTTGTAGGTCAGGAGAGAGGGATGTGTGAAGCTTGGAAAGTAGCATCGGTCTTGGTTTTAGCATTCCTGCTATTTTCTGATACCCTGGGAAATAGCTGAGTATGAGGAAGTGAATTAGGAGAATCATACTTCGAGAGCTCTCATGGGACCCCTGTCTGTGGGTTGGGAACTTGGTTTCGACATTTATATGTATCCAAGAAATTATGTAGGCATGAGTTTCAACAGTGACACTACATGGTGGTAAGAATTCTTGGAAGAGAGGTTCTGTGGCAGTTGTGAACTGAACAGACTTCAGCTCCTTTGTGACCAGTGAAGTCTAGGGCTCAGTATTTTTTTTTAATTAAAAATTTTTATCCTAAATTTTGGCTGTGCTGGGTCTTTGTTGTGATGCACACGGCCAGTAGTTGTGGTGTGTGGGCTTAGTTGCCCTGAGGCATGTGGGATGTTATTTCCCTGACCAGGGATCGAACCTGCATCCCCTGACTTGGTAGGTGGATTCTTTTTTTTAATTTTTTATTTGTAAGGATTCATTAAAATCTGAATTTATTGGACTTTAGTTTACAGTTCCGCTTCTCTCCTAGATTTGAAACTAATGCAATAAAATGTACAGATATATAGCGTTAAAGGTCTCTTTCATGCTAGGCTAGCTAGCCACGAGTCTTTTAAAATTCAATAGCTTACTTTTTACCATTTACAACAGAGCCAACTTTACCAAAGTAAAAGCCGTTTAGTAGCAACACAGCTAGTCTATCAACTAACTGCTACCTGTCGACAGGGGCACAATCTGGCCACTGTATCCATGACACATCCATCAGGTACAGATACTTTTAAGTAAGTGTACACATTTGGTTTAGTAAACATCAACAAGTTTAAACACCTGTAACAAGCACACTTCATTTTAGGACAAGAGGTTTCTTTTCTTTTTTTTTTTAACTTATACAACATCCCAGAAATTTAATGTGTGTCAATATCCATGCAGTAAATAAATGTTTTTACAAATAGGTTTTTTTAAATGATAAAAATATTACACTGGGCCCCAGACTTCATACAAACATTAATACATGATTTCTCATCCACTGACTACATATAAGATTACTGAAAATGTGCTGGAGAAAGGCCACTCTCCTGTACAGTTGTGCAAAGTCTGCAAAACAATAGTGATTCAATGGTGGTTTCAAAAGCAAAGAAAAAGATCCTCACTGTGGAGTATTTACTTTCTTCTCTACAACAAAAATAGTCACCGGCAGATATCTGAACTCTTAGAGATGAAAGTACATTCACTGAGCTGTTCAGGCAACAATATAAAACTGATTAGAAGTATATTTTAGGATATAGAATAGTAAAGGAGGGTCTCTTTCTCCTCCTAAAGAAAAAAACAAAACCCAAACCCAGCAAATTGTGACTTGGATGTTATGCAGCCAGACACTAAAAAGCTGCACAGTCATTATCATGCTGTGGTCACTTTTCAAAAATGAGATGCTTTTAAATGGAAACGTATGAAGAGGATTTTTTCAT